AACTGCGGGCCCCTCTCTGATAGGATGTCTTCAGGGATTCCAAAAAAATGAAAAACCTGGTTGACTAGCATCTTGGCGGTCTGAACGGAGGTGGGCAGAGAAGGGACTGAAATATAACTGAAAATTCTGAAGAGTCCAGCACTAAAAAAGAAATCTGTTCACTGTGCAATGCACTTGTTATTAGTCTTATGGGTTCAATCGGTTTGGTAATCAACCCACTTCCAACTAGTTCTCTATCCAGGGCAGTAACACACAGGGGGTCTTCATTGGCATCATGGAAACCTGTAACTGTTCCACCAGCTGGGCATGGATGAAGTTTCCCTCCGCTCTGAAATCTATCAGGGCTAAAACAACACGAGAAATATCTTGGCCACAAATAGTTACAGGTATTAGAAAGGATTTTAAAATCAACTCCTTTGTGGAACACTTGCCACATTAGATTACTCCACGCACTTTCCAGGAGTTGGCACCATAGATCTAGGTGGACATGCCCGACAGTCACGTAGCAGATGAGTGGAATTGCCACAGTAGAAACAGAGTCCTTCTTGAGCTTGGCGAAGTCTCTCTGCAGATAAAGGTGTGATGTATCACACTGCATGGGTTCTTCACATTCTTTTATGTCCTCTGGCAATGTCATTTAAATTCTGCTCCTGGTGCCAGAGCGTTTTTCGATCGAGTTAGAGGTGGTCGGGATGAATAGCAAGGGTAATAAAGTGATCTAGATTCAGATTAGAATCTCTACGAGCCAGTTCGGCAAGTAAGTCCGAATTAAGTCCTTGACAGAACGCAACCAATAAGGCTGGCTCATTCCAGCCGTGACCTGCAGCTAGGGTGCGAAATTCTAGAGAATAATCTGCAACAGAGTGATTCCCTTGTCAGAGTTTCATTAAAAGTTCTCCGCTAACCTTTCTTTCATGGGGGTGATCAAAAACCAGGCGAAATTCCTTTAAGAATTGTTCATAGGTTAAGGTCTGAGCTTGAGACCAGTATGCGGTTGCCCATTCTAGTGCTCTGTCACATAAACGTGAGATCAAAAAAGAGATTTTAGTTTGATCAAAGCGTTGAGGGGAATTTACAATTAAATTGCAACACTGCAACAAAAAGCCCCGACATTTCTCAGGGTTGCCGTCAAACTTGCCTGGTTTGCTGACAGAAAAAGCAGAGTCAGAAGCCACTACCAGCGTGATAAGAACAGCGGCTTGCTTGTTCTTAGCGGACAGACCAAAGGTTTGTAGCTGGGCAGTTAATTCCTTGACGTTAGAGACCAAATGAACGGGTTGTGATTGTTGTTCTGCTTGTTGTTGTGAAAGAGCCTCAAGAGATTGAGTAATGCCAGCTAATACCTGTTGGTAACTGTCCCTCATTGGCAATAGCCTTTTGGACAGCCTCCTGATCCGCCATCTGCATGGTTGGCAAGGTATTCTGTAACGCAACCAGACGAATCAGACACTTGCGGTAAAAATTAAAGTGAGAGGCTTTACTGTCAAGGGCTTGGGCGAAACCCGTGGTCATGAAACAGGCAGAGGTCAAATCCAGAAAGATCCAAAGAAAGAAAAGAAAAACCATAACAACCAAGCAAGTAAAACATTTTAGGCAGACAAAAACAAAAACAAGAAAAAACGCTCAGTTGCTCTTACTCGAAGAAGCAATACCTCACCAAGTAACTAGTCTAAAAGCCCGGGCTTTATATTTAATCTAACTAGACACATGACTGGAAGGAACAGGTGTACAAGATTAATATTCAGTTGAATGAGATCAATGATTGGAGTGCTGAGATGCATCATCATGTGATCCCCCAGAGCGTTCTAGAGATGGAGTTTGTGGGAGTCTCAGAGCCGGAGGGACAATTATACTCTCTGTTCAGTTAGAGTAGAAGCTAATTTTTAAAATTTGTATCATTGATCCCTGCTCGGCTGTGAAGAGATGTCCCGCACAACTGAAATGCTGCTGAGGCAAGAAGACCTGTGCTCAAATGCAGAGACAGTTTTCTAATGGGGAGGAGCTTCATGCTGTCCATGTAGCAGGCAATGTATCCACGTAGTTCTTGTGGGGCACTGGGCTTCCTTGCTTTCATTTATGAAAAGAAGTCCTATGGTAATTAAAAACAAACATTTTTAGACAGTATTTTTGAAGTAGTTCTGAACGTGTGGAAGATAATTAATCTAGACACTGACATTTTTGCCTCTTTTAACTCTGATTTGATTTGATTAACTTTATTGTCCCACTAGGGGAACCACCAGACGCCACACCTCAATTAAAACATAAAAGACATTAATAACATAACACAGAAAAAAAACATTGCCTGCCTAATAGAATTAAGAATTGTAATGGATGTAGGCACAAAAGATCTTCTAAATGTATTTAATCTAAACATTATCATTCTAAATCATCTGCCTTGCTTTCGTTTTTTGCTGTGTTTTGTTGCTGCCGCTGTTTCTTTTTTTTTCATTTTTGGTTTCTCTGCTCTCTGGATCTACATCGTTCTCTGGTTTCATGTCGGAACTTCTCCCATGGTTGTATACCCGGCACTTTTCACTGCCTGCTGCCATGCACGAGCCCTCTCCCTTCTTCCTCCTACCCCTCAACTGAAGCTGCGGGGAGTGAGTTTCTACCCCTCACTAAGTTCTCATGATTTATTTGAGGTACTGGGCAGTTTTCACTTTCCTGTACTCAAATTCTTGGGTTGGGGTTGTTGGTCTGGCTAACGTGCTTTGGTGGTGTTAGCGCTGAGGTATGCTGTGGATGTCTATCTAGCCTGCTGGGCAAGTTATCATGCCTTACTTTGGTTTACGACTGACTGGCTGCTCTTGGATGTGGATTACTGTTTTTGGACCACTTGTTTTTGCTTATTTCTCATGATGATTACATACTCAGCAACTGAACTAAAAAATTCTAACACTCATGCTTGTCTGGACCTTTTGACATTTAATTTATGTTGAAGTCATTGGTTTATGCGCTGACCTAGGTATATTCACCGGTCCCGGCGCTTCCATATTTCTCACCGTGCTTCGGATGCACACATTCCGGCTATTTGGTCACAGAGGCAGATCATTAAGGATTATAACCACACACGTGGAATCACTCCTGATCATCTTCGCTCTCTTGCACAATCTAGCACTTACTCCTCCACTGGAATCTTGCCTGTGAAAATAGGTCTTCTGACCTCTCATTCTATTACTAACAAGGCATAACTTATAAATGACTTGATTACTGAGAAAAGCCTGGACATGCTCCTTCTTACTTAAACATGGCAACAAGCAGGGGATTTCCTTAACTTAAATCTTTAAGTGCCCTCACGCTTTACTGTCTATCTAAGCTGCATCTTACAGGTAAAGGAGGTGGTCTGGCTGCTGTATTCCATACTGATGTGAACGTCAAACAGTTGGACTTTCATGATGTTACTACTTTTGAATATTTAGCTATGAAGGTTCTGTCATCTGTGTCACTGCTCTTGTTGTTGATTTACCGCCCTCCTAAATCTCCTGCTAATAACTTTTTATCTGAGCTGAATGAATTACTCACGTTAGCTTCATCTATGTCATCTGCTATCATGCTGCTGGGCGACTTTAAAATTCATGTTGACACCAGCTGTGCACTCTCTGCCGAACTCTGCAATATTTTTGATTCAGCACTGTGATTTCCCAACACATATTCATGGTCACACTCTTGACTTGCTCTGTACCCATTTTCTAAATGATATTTCAGTTTCTGGTTCTGTGGTTGGTTTCTCTGACCATAAGCTCATTGAGTGTGGTCTTGGTTTACCCCCTCCTAAATCCTACAAGAAATCTACTGTTTCTTTTCATAAACTGTTTCATAAACTGTTTCATACTGTTTCGGTCATTTGCCGTGCAGTGTGAGGGGGGCAGCGATACCCAATTACCTGCCCAAACGAACATGTCTGATTGAGCAGTTGGGCGATTAGATGCATTTGTGATATGTCCAAAATTTTAGTCGCTTGTCTCACAGTTTCACAAACCGATTTTTCAAGGTCGCACCCAAAACCTATCACAAAGAATCACAACTACTGCTCATACATCAGTAAACATCAATACGTTTTTTTTTCAATTGCCTTTGTAAAATTGTCTTTAGCCTGTTTTGTTTGTTTCAGTGCACAGTGTGGCACAAGTTAGCAGAGCTGTTGTAGCATGGTTTGTCAGTGGCTGAATTTCAAATGGCCTTTGCAGTACACCATGTAATTTCTGGCTGCTACACTAAAAAATAGTGCACGATTTGTCTGGCATGGAATTGTGCCCACATGACCAAATACCAAATGTATTTTTATTAGATACATGATGGACTGTTTGGGTGCAGGAGCCACTGTTTTAAATCCTATGTGGTGCACTTTGTAGGGAGCAGGAGTCATTTGAGATTCAGTCCTACCTGTCTTTGGGGGCTGCGTTTCATGCGCAGTGCGAACACCCCTGTTGCATCATGTCAGTGTTTTCATACAACATGAGCATGTAAATCACAGACTTTGTCCTTATATGATGGGCGTTCCAAAATGCAGTGTCACTAAAGAACAAGATTTCTAAAATCTCACAGTGTAATGCCTGGCTGCGTGGCCATAACGATTTGGCCCTTGTTAAAGTCGCTCAGGTCTTCACACCTGCCCATATCTCCCGCAACCAACAAGATGACTACCAACTGTTTGCTTATTGTCTAATATATGCACATTTGTAAGAGATAGTCAACATTTTATGCTCCATCTGCTAGTGGTGTATTTTATTTAGTGCTGTTTGTTTATGTATTTATCCAGCACTGTATTCACAAATATGAAACATCAGATGCTTAAATTCATTCATCAGTTAAGCTTTGCTCTATCAAGGAGAACACATTTTTCACTGTAGGATATCACCATAGCATTGTTCTTGTGGAATTATTTGGATGTAAGTATTTACTAAGACATTTTCTTCCCTCAGTAAACATTGTAAATCTACCTGTTGACTTTGTGGTTGGTATGTTATACCAATGAGCCAAACTACAGTTATTATATCACTTTAATTCTTCTCAAAGTTTTCACAGGGATCTTCCATTGCAAAGTTCACCCTAAATCGTTGGTAGAGTACTTTAATAGACTGCAATACCTCCTCTGTCTTCAAAGTATATATGATGGGGTTTAACATAGGTGGAATTGCTTGTGTTAGGACTGAGTTGATTATTCTGTTATTTGGATGTATGTATGTTGTATCAGCAGTAATATAAACGCTAATGATTGGTAGATAAAACATGGCCACTAACATGAGGTGGGAAGTGCAGGTTTTCATAGCCTTGATCCTCTCAGCACCATGTGAGATCTTACACAGAGCAACACCAATACAAACATATGAGAAAGCAATTAGCATCAACGGAAGGCAAAGCACAACCGCAACATTAACATAGGCCAACATGTAATTAGGTGAATTATCACTACAGGCTAGTGTGAAGATGGGGAAATAATCACAGAAATAGCTGTCAACTGTGGTAGATCTACAGAAGGACAGTCTGGTAGTCAGAGCAACACGGATGGTAACGAGAAATACAGAGACAAGCCAAATGAGACCAGTTATCAGAGTCATTGTGGTTTTGGTGACAATAGCATGATACCTCAGAGGAAAACATATAGCAATTACTCTGTCAAAAGACAGACTAAGCAACGTAAAGGACTGCATATTCATAAAAAGAAAAACAAAAAACATGCTTGTCATACAGTCTTCAAAAGATATGTACTGGTTTTCAGAAAGAAACATATCTGCATACTTTGGAATAAGAGCAGAGCTTCCACACAGATCAGAAAAGGCCAAGTTGAAGACAGCTATATACTTTGCTGTGTGCAAACTACGTGCCAGGTATATAGTGCCCATTATAAAAGAATTCCCTAAAATAGTCACAGTGTACACAAAACACAAAAACATATAGTAATACTTTGCATGCGGCATGTTGTACAATCCACTGATGTAAAATGTAGGGGGGCGAACGAAAGTAGCATTCTCAAATGACACCACAGTAGTCATGTCAGGAGACCGGTCTTAAATAAAATGTAAGAAAGAATGGTTATAGACTCTTCACAAAGTTTATAACTTTACAAGTCTTCAAAACATTAATACAAATAAAAATGATTAAGAGAATTTGTAACATGCAAAATTAATCAATCGCAAATGACAATTTCTGTAATGATAATTAATCCATATGAAACGAGAATACAGGACGTTAAAACAGATCCACATATTTTTTCATACAGTACCTTCTGCAGCAGGACAAAATCTTTTGGAGCAGAATTTCAGGAGAGATCAAACACATTTATAGCTGACCTGTGTTTACGTCATCTTCAAAAGCACACCTCCACAACACAAATCTCTATAGACAAGACTGTATACTCAACTGGAATACATTTGAAGTGACTTAAAAGAGGCAATAATGGATTCTCTGATGAATAAAAATTGTGCAATAAATGATAATAAATAAATTATATTGCTTGCCAAGCATCCTGTTTATCCAAAATTTGCAGTCAGCATAGATGTATCTTTAGCTGTTTCTATTCCCTGTAATCCTGTAGGAGAAAAAAAAAATGGAGAAGGTCTGTTTTTTTTTAGGTTATTTGTTATCATTTAAATAAAAATTTATTTTCTAATAAGAAAAAGTCAGTGTTACCTTTATCCAGACATACACAATAGTTTCTGTTAAATATCATAGCAATCATTTAGAGGTTAGATCAAAGTTTATCATAAATCATTTGTAGTGGGAGATGTGAACCTTGAACACAAATCAGATGTTTCCATCATGAGTATAAACAGTCAACCAGGATGTTATATTCTATAGGCTATATGTCATCAGCAATAACATGTTGTGACAGATACAGTGGTGAACCTTCAGTGTCTAGGCCTACAAAGACCAAATGATTTCTCAGAACTAAAAAAAAGTCGATTTTTTTAGCTTTTTGAACAAGAAAACACATAAATAGGAACATACTTCACACTTAACTGGCTTTTATTGTTACTCGAATGACACCAATTAATTATAAATGCTTACCACTCTGAATTCTGTTCTGAATGTGCTTGTGCTCTCACTTAGAAGCTTTCGCATTGCATCCAGCAATAAACATAGCATTATGCTCCTCTTATAAAGTGGTAAAAAACACAAGAAGCTGCAATTCAATATGCAGATCCATTTTACCATGGCCAACATAGACATGGATATTTCATAACTACTGTGCAGGGAGATTTATTGCCAGAAAGAAATTACCTTCTATAGGGCTTGTCTTGTTCCTTATAGTTACAGAGGAGTCAAGCCATGAATGTCAAATGTCATGAACTTAAAAAAAATGACCAAACGTCCTGCCTAATACTTTCACCATCATAGCTGATTTTTCTCATACAGACTTCTCTAATGGACAGGACAGTGTAAAACAGCGATGTGATCTCATATTTTGCTAAAACTAAATTTTTGTGTTAGTAAGTAAAGGCTGACAGTAAAGGCTGTCTCTTTGTGTTAACAGGCTCTCTGTGAGCAAACTGGACTACAGTTTGTCTTTATTAGAGAAAGCTGACCAGCTAGTCATACAGCTAACAGGCTCCTCTAATCATTAGATACAAACTTTAAAGGTTCCATAGCCAACATTTTTCTGGTACTTTTTACATTTGTATGGTTTTTATACACCAAAAACAGTATTTTCCAACATTTCTTTATCACTTAGAATTAAACAGACGTTTTTGTTATATTGCCTTTGGGACTGATATATGCTGACCTGCTGCTCTATATTGTACCCCATTGAAAAAGCAGTCTGGATTGAATAATTTCAGTTGAATGGGCAATGGATTCTCTCATAAATTAAATTGGAATATTATATATAAAATCAGAGCAGAATGCAGGATAATGATGCCTGTTTCTGCACTTGCAACACATGCTTCCTACTCCAGCAGTGTTTGGAGGCAGGAAGGCACCGTAGTGCCAGACTTCAATTGGAATTTATTGTTAAAAGCTGTTATAGTATAGTATTTATCATTCAATAGTTTCTTGCTGTTCCTAAAGTATTTGAAATGCTGAATAAAAATGTACAAATCTACAGCTTTTTACAAAATATGTTAGTGAAAATAACTACAAAAAATATTAACATGACAAATAATTCCAACTTTTAAGTTGTATTTGTGTATAATGTGGTACTAAATACCCTACTTAAGAAGATGATCTGTGTTAAGTAGTCTTTGTCATTCCTTAATATAACTTGGAACAAAATGTTGTCCTTCAAGCCTCATGTTGCACAACAGAACACGTTATAGCGCATTACACAGGACTATACAAAGTGCAGATACACGTCAGTGTGAAATGAGTGCAGAATATACAACACATATACAAGGTAAAAACATACAGGGCAAGAAATACAAAGAATACTACTAGACAGGACAAACAAAAAATATATACAAATAAGCATCATACATGAGCATATGAGCGAAGAAACTATTACAAACGTTGTCAACTATAAACTGTACACAAAGATTGAAGTCCCATAGCAGCAGGCAAAGAATTAAAGAAATTCAAGTGCTGTGTGAATTTCAGTGTTCAGTGATGCAGTGTATGACTAATCTATGCTGCATGTTAGAAATAGCCTTGGATAGTCCAGGCGGATGTTGGTGGGTATCAATGTGTTCAGTAATACGGCCACTTCTTGGAAGTCTGGTGGTGGTGGAACAGATGCTCTGGTGCCAGATGGCAGGAGCGTGAGGAGTCCATGCGAGGGGTGGGAGAGGTCATCCACAATGCTGGTGGCCTTGTGGATGCTGCGCTAGTGGTGAGAGGTGTCCATGGTGGATAGACCATGACCATCTTCTCAGCTGTCCATACTATCCGCTGTAGGGTCTTGTGCTCTAAGACAGTGCAGTTCCCATACCAGACAGTGAGACAGCTGGTGAGGATGCTTTCTATCATTCCCCTCTAGAAAGTAGTGAGGATGCAAGGGCAGAAGTTTGCTCTCATCATCCTTTGCAGGAAGTAAAGTCGCTGCTGGGTTTTTTTGGCTATGCAGGTGGTGTTGACAGTCCAGGTGAGATCGTCCCCTGAGCACGATTACAATCACAGACATGCTGTCAGTAATGCCCTGCCAAATACACCGTGTGCCTCTGTTATTCAGTAAGTGTATATGGATTATCTTTGGCATAGTTGCATTTTGCCTTTCTGATATCCTTGGACAGGTTAGCTTTGTCATCTGACCTAAAGGCAGTCATACATATGCAGAGGTTTGTATGCTGGAATTAACATAACAGAGATGTGGTTTGAGCAGCTGAGGCGGGGATGGTTAGAAGCCTTGAATGTTCTGTGGATGTCTGTGTAATCAAAGGTCCATTGTGTTCACTCCATAAATAAATCAATGTGCTGGTGGAATTCAGATAGCACTGGGTTATGCTGTTTGTTCGGTTAGCTGAATGACCACGTTTGGAATTCTGTTATTGAGTCATGTAAAAATAGAGACACAGCAGTCCTGGAGCAAACACTGGAAGGTTAGCTGTATTCTGAGGTGGTTCAGATTAGTGCTGAAAAAACTGACATTGGAGGGAAAAGATGGTAGAGCCGGATTGCTAGGAACAGCCTTTAGCCTAGCTTTAGCTTCTACTTCCGGGCATACAATTTCTGGTGATTCCTCTCCTGGCCACCAGCATCAGACAGTGCTGCAGTTCCAAGGCTGTCTTGCAGAGCAGCTGCAGAACCTCCAACAGTCCATCATTAAGTGTGTTTGCATTTACTTAATAATCTGACCATAATCAGATTTCTGCAGTTATCTGATTATTTAAATGGTCATGTAAACAGCATACTCTGATTTCTTAAATCAGTATTCAGTATAGAAATCCGATTCAATCTAAGAAATCCAATAAAGAGAGCTGGATTTTAGCTCAGTAATCAGATTTCTCAGCACATGTATACCATCACTCTGGTTTCTTTCAGATTTCACAGTCTGCACATGTGGGAAAACAGAGTGCAGTACCGAAAATAAGCAAGCACGTCTAGCACAGCACCCACAAGTTGGCAACAAAACACTTTTGGAGCGATTCTGTAACCAAGTACATTTTTTGGCTGGTTGCAAGGCAGAAATTTGATTCATGACTCATGTAAACTTACGGTTTTCCTATTATATGATTACCCAGATACATGTAATCACGTTGGATAACTGACAATATCTGATTTTTTGCAGTTATCAAATTATTAATTGCATGTAAACACCCTCTTTTATTACACATAAATTCAGTTTTGTCTTGATAACAGACATGTTCACCAGTGTTTCTGATGCACATCTTAGGCACAATTGTTTCAGAAAACTGATTACAAGAAACAAAAGCACCATATTTCCAGGACCTGAAGCGGACGCCATCTTGGAATTTCATATGAAGTTTCATGTGAAATTTTTAGGAGGAGATCATCTCTGCTGGTGGCGGATTAACTACATATTAATAAATAGCCTATAGTAGAAGATAGCTAGCTATTTGTCAGTGTGCCCAAGTGAGTACACATGGCTTTTTTTATGACAGACCTGTTGCTCCCTTACTGATAATTATTTTGAGCACACTTTATATTCCTTATAGTTCCACACTTCTCTGCACTTTTACATTTTGTAAAGATGCTCTAGAATAGTTGAATAACTAAACTAGCTAGCTTGTCAGCTAGTACTCCTGCACATCTCCAATCTGATGCCGTTTATAATGTGCATGCTTTATAAAGTCATTTAGACCAATGACATGACCAAGACTGTGGGGCAGAGAGACATTGGGAACAGGGTTTGGTGGCATCTGAATGGTTATGGCAGCACTGTGCACTACTTTAGTTTGTAGTTTGCTTCTAGCTTGATAGTCTGTGGGATAACCAATCAAAATTCATATTTTTTTACTATGATAAGAAATCAGTCAGGTCAAGTGAGTTGAATGAATCTTACTACCTACTACACGTCTATACATGGACTCCTTTTTATTTTTCTTTATTTTCTTATTTTATTTTTTTATTTTTTTGATAAACTGCTTTCCTTCCATAAACT